AAGGGGGGATGGGGCCCCGGTTTAAAAGAACTAAAATTAGTTTTACCTCTTTAAGCTGCTCGAATGTTAAAAAGGCTTGCCCTTTAGAGTTTAAAAACCACTTCCCGATCCTGAAATACTGTCTCAATGAGTTTGAATTGTTTTGCTAGCGCCCCAAAAATTTCAAAGAAAAGCCCTAAGATAAGTCAAGAATTTTCTATTTTTTTTGGTGGGTCTTTTAGTTGATAGAATAGGTTAGTGTTATAAATAGTAAAATTAAATGGTTTGGGAGCAGGGTACGTCCGCTAACCATAGTCGAAATGGTGGTGGGTAAGGGGTTGAAACCTAAAGCTTTGGATACAAAGTTGTGGAACAGATAATTCCTATCTAAGGGTTAGAGGTAACGTCACTAAAGAGTCCTTTGGTCAATAGCGCCAGTAAGAGCCAAGAAGGGTCGGAGGAGTTCCAATAAATAGCCCCCCTTTCTTAAAGTCCAAACACTAGATAGAAACCATTCTGACAGACCTAATGTGGATTTGTAATAGACTTAATTGCAACAAATCCAAACAACTAAAACCTAACAAATCTAAAATCATCTGCACGTACAAAGAGATTTAGATTTGTTGTTTCAACACTTAATAATCAACACAAATGATTTTACGTGGAAAAACATAAGTTGGACACTTTAATTGTGATAAAAACACCACGGGCCGTAAACGCCACAAATCATCCACTAATGAAGAATGAAAGAATACATTTTAACCAACAATTTACCCAACTTTGTAAAATCGTCTTTCAATTAATTTTTGTTCTCTTTCAACGACTCCTTTCGTCTTGGAATTGTTCTGCTTGATGTCGAATCACAACATCCACGTCAAATCCATGACCACAGAGCAGTTTTGACCTCCTTCAAAGACCTTCACGCTTGAAACCCTTGGAAATCCTCGAAGAAGAACACTTTTGTGTTTGAATGACAAACACAAACCCTTTGATTTGAGTCAATTAATTCATGAGATAAACTCACATAAACAATTTAATCAGGAAACCAGTGAAGAAACTCTAGAAGAAAACCCTAATACACAGAAGAGAATATGGAAGCCGTACTAGAAATTACACTTGTTCGTAGCTTTTATAGAGACATATTCGCGTCACGCGCTCGAGCCAATGCAATGATCGCCTCGCATGATGTGACTTAAACGCATGTTTTTGCAAAAATGACTTCGTTTGAACAATTGGAAGTTCACTAGAGCATGATACTTAATCTCAATATTTTTGTAGTAAGGACAACTTTTGTGAGGCTTTGCAATTTGTTCACGCGATGCTTTTATCGCTCAGCGGTCAAGCCAAGAACACTGCAAATTACACTCATGGAGACAAGTTTGGTTCGCGGAATTGACAACAAGTAGGGACCTTACAATCTCTCCTTGTCAATTCTCAGACAAACAATCTAACAAAAAGTGCTAACAACAAACGACTAGACCACTCCTGACAAGCCTACCTTATTTCGACAAACTCGAAAAAGCCTCCTGGCAAAACAAATGATCACAGAATCGAATAATAAGGAAAAAAATATAATCAAGGAATGGATAGAAATCAATATAACTAGATCTATGCAATTTCTAAAACTGATTAGTTCAGTCGTAAGTGCAAATATCCCGTGTCTAATCATTCAAGACAAAGTCAATCAATAGCCCTAATATATCATGTTCAACTCCCAAATTAAACAGTTAGTCCCCTTTTTATCTGGAAAAGACAAAGCCAAGGAAATGAAAACAATATATATAGGCTACGAGATTAAAAACACAAGAAACAAGAGAATCAAAAACAAAACTATCTCAAACTGAAAACACATCACTAAATCCGACGGTGGTGGAGGAGGCTGTTGCAGATGAAGAAAAGATAAATCTGAGGCAGCTGTAAGGAGGACTGATCAACAGAATGCTAAATAATGGCCAAGAAGATGCCTCCAATGCAATAAGTCCGTGTCGGTCGATGTTCTCCAGGGGTCGGTGAGACGAGCATCATAGATGTCCGCTGACTCTCTAAATGGTCAAACTCGGTAAAGATGGCATGCTCAATTCTGGCAACCAGTAATCCTCGAATAGACGGAGTTGGTAAAGATGGTCCCTCACCAACAGCAGCGGCGGCAATCAAAGTTAACTTCGCTCGTCCTAGGGGTCTTCATTACGTGTACCAGACCACCGCACCCTGGATGTACTCCCTTAACATGGCGCTTGACTTTAGGAGACGGTCCTTTTTAGTGATGGGCTTTATGATGGCCAAACTCATCATCCGAGGAGGATGGAACATAAGAGGGGTAAGAAAGCGGTTTATTAGAAACCGTAAGGCAAGCACCTAAAGATTTCTTTCCTCACACTCACTATCCATTATTGTCACATCATTTTCTGGAGGTCTATAGAGGAAAATGACATCAATGCAAGTAAATGAATATCTTGTGATCTGGGAAATGTTAGAGAAGCCGTGGTGTGATGACATGGATGTTGGCATAAGCAATGATATTTAAGGAGGCGGAACTGATGGAGAAGCTCAATTTTATCGATTAGGGGCTCGGTCGACCCACATTCAAGGGGTGCCTACACAGTGTAGTGGCAACTATGCTCAAAATCCCGCAACTAACGAGAGCAAGAAAGGGTAAGTGGCGAAT